GCCTGTTGAATAAGATGCATCTCAATCTGTTCACTACATTGATTAAAACATTTACACAGATACATTTAGGATACAGCATTCTTATTTTACAGTGATAATCAATGTTCAGTGCAGTAAAAAGGTATGACTGAGGGAAGCCATTATCAGCAATACTGCCACTATCTACTGAGGGAAGCCATTATCAGCAATATTGCCACTATCAACTGAATACGTACCTCTCTGGGGTGTTATTTGGAGAAGAAAATGCAGGTTGGCTTCAGAAGATGCTGGGGTTTGGCTGCCTGGGCTCAGGGTCAAGGTTCCTCAGCTGGGTGGTGGGGGGAGGCTCCCAGGGGAACTGGGGGGAGGCCATGGCCACAGCCAGCCCTTGTCTTGGGGAACTGCTTGTAGGCTGAGGTTCCACCACCTGGCCCCTGCCAGAGCTATGGCCTGATGCACACCACAGCCATGGGCAGCACATGTTATGTGGTCCAGGCAAAACAAGAAACAGACACTGGTTTACTTGCAGGAAAATGAAGTTGTTAGTTCAGCCTGAAAGGTCCTTTTATGCAACAGGGGCATGATTTGATGAACTGCCTGTGGCAGAAAGCAAAAAGTACATCCATGAGGACATTTTCCAAAGAACATTAGAGCTCTTTATGCCATTAATTCTCTATTTATATCATTGCTGTTTAGAACATAGACGACTAATTGCATTTATGGTTGTACTCAGAGATGGGGTGACAGATGTTTTAGGAATTTGGCTAAATGTTGTATCACTTCAGGCTCTGACTGGAAAAATTGACAGTTTTCAAAGTACTGTTCCAGAGTCATGATTATCTTTTTACTAATGATGCATCTTGCTAATGGGATCCTTCCTCTGATAACATGATTGAGTTTGGAGACTGAGAGCACAGAATCTTTAAAAATACACCCCATGTAGTTAACTCTATCTGAGATTAATTGAAAGACCAAACAACATTTTCACTAAAAGCCTTCTGTTAAACACAGATACAGATTTATTTTTTTTTACAAGTAATTTATCTAATTACAATTCAGATTTTGAGCAGAACATCATTTTTCTGGAGGAAATGTCAGCTACAGCTTTCTTCAAACAATCACGTTTGGCAGCAGCTGATGAAGAACAAAAAAACCAAAACCTCACCCTTTTAAACTAATTCAGAGGCAGAAGCAAGAACTGCAAGTTCTTGTTTGTGTGTTCCAGATATGATGCTTGGTAGTACAAAACAGCACTCAGGATTTGTCACTGCTCCTACAGCACTGCAGGTTGTTTCTGAGGCTTTGCTGTCCATTCTGTTGCTTGTGGGTAACTTTTCCTTCCTCTCCAGCTGGTTGCTGCTTTCAGGACATCTAACACATCTCTGAGTTAATGTGCCATCTGTGTGGATTTTCGAGGCTATTTTTCTGGTCATTTTTATTTGTCAGACTCAAACAAAAGAGTAGTCAGTGCTCTGCCATTGCTGAGTTACCCTGCATTACAAACTGCTTCTGTCAGAATAGTCAATTCTAACTGCCCTGGCTACAGCTGAAACTTACTTTGACAGTGCATTTTTCAAGATCACACTTCTCACTATACTTTTGGGGGCTGGAACTGGTCTTGTTTTAATCCAAATATTCTGGCCTCTGGAACATTTATGGCAGATCCACAGAAGCAGACAAAACAAAAACACATAGCAGATAGGAGCGCTTCAGCAATACTTCAGAATAAAAGCACCATCAGTAGATCATGAAAACCCAGCTTTCCCAGCGCTAGCAGGACCGTGATTGCTTTGGCAAGAGAAAGCCAAAGAGCAGCACTGGCTGCAGCCAGCCAAAGTTGGTGCTTCCATCTCACAGAATCTGACCTGTCTTTATCAAGACTAGAATCAATAGGTTCAGTTACAACTGCACAATGTGGAAATGTAGGAGAGGTTCTCACACCTATTTCACAACACAACTCAGCTGCCTACGTCTGTCAACCTATCTACCAGCCTCAGAAGCTGGGAATGCAAGCTGTGGAGTCATCCTGCTTTCTGGGACCTAGTCAAGCTCTGGCCCCCTTCCCTCTCACTTCCCCATTTTTTACTGTAGTTTCACAAAATCATCTCCATTTCTGCTTCCATCAGCATAGTGCAATAGTGGCTTACAAAACAAAGGGTGGAACACTTTGCTTTGGAGTGACAAATGCAGGGCATCATCAAACAGTATGTTCAACACTTCAAAGCAATAGTAAATTCATCATTAGATTATCAAAGAAAATAACTGGGCAGAGAACAACAAACACAATACTAGAAGTTTACTGGGCAAATAAAAGCATGTTTAGAGAAATACTCTTAATGGCCCTCAAATATAAAAACTTGCCCTAAACAGGATATTCAGAAGTCTCTAAAGTAGTAATTAACTGGCTTGACCACATATATATATTACTTTAATTGTTATTTTTTAAGCTCCATAATCATGTGCCTCAGTCCACTACTGAGGTTGCAGAGCAGGCCCCTGGAAAAGTCCCGGGCTCAACTCCTGGAGCCAGCGGCAGATAAGAGCTGGATGCAGGAACACAGGAACTCAGGATGACTCAGTGCAACATTTGTGCTATTGCTGCCCCTGGTAAATTGGGCATACAGTGCAGTGCAGAAACAGTCACCTGAAGCAACAGAAGAAGTGTTACACCAGCATGGACACTCACGGAGCTGCTGTTCACTCTGGTTACTTTCCTTGTTCACACATCATGCTCTTTGGTGCAATTCTTGTGACTAATGGCTACGTTTCAGTGAACAGTAACTGACCTTGGCATCACACTTTCCAAGGTGTGTCTCTGAAGCCATCAATCGACCAGAGACTGATGTCCTGAAGTGTCCTCCAGCCTCTGTATTCTAGTCACAAACATACCTTAATCGACTCTTGTGCAAAGCAGCCCTGTTACATCACTGCTTTGATCTTACCATCAGCTCTGCAAGGTTCTTGTGCTTTTGCACAGGAAACAGCACAGGCCACAAGAACAACAAATGTGTGCGTCCCTCCATGTTGTGAGTTTCCTGGCTGATAGTCAGGTTCTGCCACATCAGAACCACTCTGGATTTAAAATCCTTCCTGTGCCTTTCCATATATGTGTATGTGTATGTATACATATAGGTACTGAGTTATTTGATCCTCACTTTGTTACCGTGCTTCCCTCCAAAATGTTTGGGTGAGGTCACAGGGATCTCTCTGCCCATAGAGAACCATAAGCTCAGAATGATTCAGGCTGTAAGAAAAGTGAAAGAACAAGTGGTTGGGAACAACCAGTGTGGATTTTCCAAAGGCAAATGGTGCTTGACCAGTCTGATTACCTTAAAGAATGAAAAGACTGGCTCTGTGGATGCAGAGGGAGGATGTTAATCAACTTGAATTCAGCAAGGCTTTCAGCACAGTCTCCCAATGGACTGCCTGGCCCAAAGGGTGATATCAGCAGTGCAAAGCCCATCTGGCAGTGAGTTACCAGCAGCATCCTGCAGGGTCTTTATTAACAGCCTACTCAACCAGACAGAGCCCACCCACAGCAAATTCATGGAGAACATCAGGTTAGAGAGAGCATTTGGTACATTGACAGGGAGGGTCATTATCTGGAGGGACAAATAGATTTTTCATTAAATTCAACCATGATGAATGAAAGCCTTTCACCTGGGATGGAATAGCCCCTGCAGCAGTTCTGCACAGAGACAGACTAAGCCCCATAATGTTATGGGCTGAGAAGCAGCTTGGATGAAAAGGAACAGAGAGTCCTGATGGGCAGGCGACTGAACACATGCCCAAGGCTAAGAGCTGACTGGGTGTCAGGAAGCATCTACTTGACAGTACAGCCTGTAGATCAAAGGAAGTGATTCCTCATCTTTACTCATTGCATCATACCACTTTACTCATTATACCACATCTGGAACCCTGGTCCAATTCTGGGCCCACCACTATAAGAAATGCATAGATAAGCTTCAGTAAGTTCAGTAGAAGGTCCATTGAGAACCTTGAGGGCTGGAGCACCAGAGCTATAAGGAGAGACTTAGGGAAATGGGGTTTTTCAGCCTGAAGAAGGGATTGCTTCAGGGGGACCTCATAGTCCATGGATACTCCATGCACTGAAGAATACTACCAAAAGCTCCAACAAACATCTCAGGGTGAATGATAATTACGTATAAAAGGGAGAAAAAAATACAAGGACCCTATTCCCATATGAAAAGGCTATAAACGAAGTTTTCTGCAATGTCTTTGGGGGAAAGTATGTTTTTTCTCACTGGTATAAAATAAGGACAGGTGTTAGGCTAAGGAAAACTTAAACTTGATGACTGGATGAGCAACAAAAAAAATTGAAGTAAGACAAAGATACAATTTAGGTTTTGCTTTTTAAACTTTTTTACTATTCTTGTTTATTTGGGCTTTTATAAAAATGGTTTATTAATAAAGAAAAACAGTTGCTTTACTGTGTGCTTTGCAACTGAGAAATTTTTAGTATTTTTGAAGACATAAGGAAAAAAATAAGAGGAAGAACACTTTGAAATACACAATATCTAGAAGTCTTTCGAAAAGATGCCCCTATTTTAAACATTTAATAATATTCTAAAAAAGGATAATACATTTGTAATATAATAGTGACAAAACGTGATAATCCTATGCTGCTTTGCAGGTGCATTCATAATTTCAAAGCGTAAACATACTTTTTTCATTAAGATTTTAATATGGTTTGAAAAATGCAATGTGAATTGAATATACAAATTTACCAAATGAAAATGTGTATGTATTAAGCTACCTATTTCCAGTTTAAAATATTGAAAAATGAAGGTAAAAATACTGAAAGTGACAAGTCAAACAATTGACTGAAACTACTACAGCTAGTGCAATGGCAGAAGAACCTCATGTGTTTTTCTGGATCAAAGTAGAAGAGTACATTGGGCATTACCAGATGTTCTACCCTGTCTGCAATTACATATTTTGAGATACTACAAAAGCTCCAGGTGTCTTCAAAGTTACACAGTTCCTGAGTAAGAAGACTTCTATAGCCAGGTCCCATTTTCTACACTTTCAAGCACAGCATTTTTTTTCTCAACTATTCCATTTGCATTGCTTGTTTCTTTCAAAACTACTACTAAACTTGACAGAGTTGTGTGAGGATCAAGCAGTTTCAGAAGAGGGATGTCCACCTGTCTCTCTTGAAAGACACGGTTCTGAATTGTCATAGCTAACATAGAGTCTATGCCCAATGATGCAAGTGGCGTATTCATGGTCAGTTCATCCGGGCTCAAGCCAGTGAGGTCACTCACCAGTGAGGTGACATAGTCTTCAGATTTGATTAAGGTAGTAACCTGGGCTCCAGTTTCCTCAGAGGTTTCAAGCCTGCTCCCAAATTCTTCTGATATAAGTGATTTGAAGCGACTTTTGAGTGAAATAATCCGAGCTAAAACATTATGCAACATAACTTGGAAGTTAAATTTGATGACAGCTTGCTGTGGGTTATTTATTAGTACGGTCTTCCTGAGATATTCACTAACTTCAGGCACTTGCAAAATATCTATGCCCTTGGATCCCAGAATGTTCTGAATATGTTTTCGATTGTGCAGTAAGCCGAGGTTCAAAGCACCCCAGTTAATTGACTGGCCTGAAAGCCCACAGTTCCTCCTGTAGAGGCAGAAGACATCCAAGAAAGAGTTTGCAGCTGCATAGTTTGCCTGGCTCGAATTTCCCAGAAAGGAAGCAACAGAGGAGTAGCACACGAAGTAGTCAAGCTCCTGGCCTCTGGTAGCCAAATGAAGATTTAACGTCCCTGCTACTTTTGGGTTCAGCACTTTCTGAAAGTCAGCCAAGTTGAGAACTTCAAGACGGCCATCGTGTAAAACAACAGCACTTTGAAATACACCTTTGATTGGAGTTCCTGGAAAAAGTTTTGCAATGGACTGGAAAGCTTTCTCAACATCACTGCCTGAAACAACATCACACTGCACAAACACTATTTTGCTCCCTTCATACTGCTGCTGCAAAGCCTTCATCTCTTCTTGCTTCTCATTACTTGGAATTTTTCTGGAGAGTATCACAATACACCCTCCTCCATTCCCAGCTATGAATTTCACTGTTTCAAAGCCAAGTCCAGTGAGCCCCCCAACTACTATGTAAACAGCATTGTGCTTAAACAACTTCTTCTGGGCTTCAGACAATGGTATATCTGAAAGCATGGTGGTGTCCTTCTGCCTTCTCAGTATGGCAAGCGGGACAGATTTGCAGGTAAAATAGGACACCATGGAGTTCACTCGTCCCAAGTTCTCAGTCTGCTGAAAAACAGAACCTGACAGACCTCTAAACCGATTCACATCCATGGAAGTGATCCATGCATGCACAGCCTTTTGCAGTTCCTTTAGAGATGCTTTCTGGAAAATGCTGTTTAGCGTAAGGATATGAAAGCAGATATTTTCATTATCAATTCCACTGACATTCTGGGTACATTCAGGCTGTTGATTACCACACACTATCACCACATCTTTAAGAAAGTACATGTGGGCCAGGTCCTCCTGAGACAGCTTGTTTACTGGAGGAAGAACAATCAGGGCATTGCATAGGTTTATATACTGGAACTTATCAGGAGTGGGCTTTGCAAGCACTGTTCTCCAACCCATCTCTTCTGCTGCCACAGAAAGAACATGGCACAAAACTGATGATGGCTCTGTAGAAATAATACCCAGTGTTCTGCCCTGTTTCCCCTTGGGTAACCTCCGACTGAAGATGTCCCATGCAATGATAAAGTATGATACACAAGGGACATCCTGAAAGCAGGGGAATTTCTTTACCTTGAAACAAACTCCTCCTGGAATACGAACTCTGGATGATGCAGCAGCTGGATAACATGAAACCACATGATCTCCCACTTTAACTTTCTTCACATCAATACCTGTTGCTGTTACTGTGCCACTGAAATCAAGAGCTAAAAGTCTGTGTTTGCCTACTGCTTGTGAATTCCAGTAGAGTGTATTACCAAAGTTACGACTAGAAACACTAATGGGATAATAATCTTCTGAGTGGAGGCATATTTTATCAACTTGAATTTCAACACACTGTCTTTCAAGCTGAGTAACAGTGCTGGTAGATACCTCAGCAGACAAATCTTTTGCTGTGTATGGATCAGAAGTGTACAAAGTAAATGTTTCCGGCTTCTGCCAAGCTCTTATGGGTTGACTGTTACCTGCATCCACAAAAGGTGTGCGTCTGATTTCAGCCACAAAAGTTCTTCCTTGGTTGATGCAAACTTCTGGATAGTCCATACCTTTGAATTTTGCAAGAACATCTGCTAGCACTGAGATGTCCAGGGAACTGGAAGAACTGAGGTCAATCATCTGAAATGTGATTTCAGGTACTTCAACAACACAAGTTCTGGTCATGCCATGCAATGCAAACCCACAGTTAATGTTGTCTACATTTCTTTCTGTTGTTCTGTAGGTGATAACTCTGACTGAACAGTGGGATGTTTTCGCTCTTAATGCCACAATAACTTGGCGATAGGCTTCACAACACTTCGCCAGTTTGTCTACCACTTTGCTTGGGAAATCTTCATTTAACTTTTGAATTCCCCACAAGAACAGAATTTCATTATAATCTTCCACCTCTGCTCTCATTTTATTCTCTGTGTGTCCTTCCAAGAGGGCTTCCCAGTCTTCATACATAACATATTTTGAATCAGGATGCAAGTATTTTTTTAGCTGCTCAGCTATCCCAAATTTGTCAGCAAACACTAGGACTCTGGGCAAAGTCCCGACATGTACAATTGCCTGTGAAGGAGAGACTTCTTTCCATTTGTTTTCAAACATGAATTCACTGTCTCTGGAAGATGCTTGCTTCATGAAAGTGGTGACAACACGCTTGAGTTCAACCAAAACAGAGCCACGTTTGTCCATAAAGCATCCACAAACCTCTAGACAGTTCCCAATGGATTTGTTTGTTCTCATATATATCATCATTTCTTCCTCCAGTGGTCGGAGCACCACCAGGCTACCTATTCCTGAAGGAAAGCCTGCTCCGGACGGGAATATCCTTGAGGTTATTATAGTGGTCATCTGCAGAAAGCAGTCAAGCAGCACTGGATGGATGCAGTAGTTGTACATCTCTTTGACAATCTCTTTGTTTACCTTGATGCTTGTTATAACTTCCTTTAGTTCCTGGCAGTAATGCACATCACTGAGCTGTCTAAATACAGGACCATACTGAAAGCCAATCTGAGACAGTGCTTCATAAACCTCCTCTCTGCTGACCACTGACCTGCATCTTTGATAGATGTCTTGGAAGGAGATGGTGGTTTCTTCCACCACAGCTTCCAGCCCCTTTTTAACTTGGCCTGCAGCATAAACTGCCTTGGAAGAAGAAAGTATCTCAAAGGTTGTCGCTGCTTTTTGTGGACTCAGCTTGATACTCAAGACTTGGGAACTCTGCGTGAGAACACATGGAGCAGAAAAGCTGATACTCATCTGGCAAGTACTCAGAGGCACTCTAGGTCTTGAGCTGCTCATCACAGCGGCCAGACCAAGCTCTACATAAAAAGCACCAGGGACTAAAGCTACCCCATTGTTCTTGTGCTCATGTAAGTACGATGTTGTGTCCTGGGACAGCAGGCAGCCAAATTGCACATTGTCACTGTTTGTGCTATAAATCAAAGGATGACTGGAGCTGATACTTCTTTGGTTTGCGTGTTGATGAATATCCAGACAGGCCATGAGTTTTTTGCGATCAAATTGATACCGTGGAATGGCCACTGGAACACTTTGATACCCGTCATAAACGTGCTGCCAGTTGGGATTATATCCAAGTTCAAACAGTTTTCCTACCAGGGTAAAGAGTGTCTGATACTCTGTATCAGTTTGCAAAGCAGAGAACACCTTGGTGCCTTTTCCTAGAGTTTCCTTTATGTTTCGCTGCAATGCTTGGTGAGGACTTATTTCCACAAACACCACATTTTCCCTGTCTCCAGCTGCAGTTTTGATGGCTTGAGTGAAAGCAACAGGCTCACGAGCATGCCGGGCCCAGAATTTGCTCTGAGCAAAGTCATTTTCAGAAGCAGCCACCCCAGTCAGCGTTGAAATCACTTCAATTTCCCCCTTCTGTTTTTCTAAAGGCTGTATGTTCTCTTCCAACTCCCCAAGTACCATATCCATGCTGGGGCTGTGGTATGCAGCTGGGACATTAAGAACATGAAGAAAGATGTTTCTCTGGCTGAAAGCTTGAGCTAAATCTCGCTGGACAGCATCCACAGAGTCTGAATTCCCAGACAAGGTGCAGGAAACTGGGCTGTTGAAAGCTGCAACACACACCTTCCCTGAGTAGCGATGCAGATGTTCAGTGATCTCTTGAACAGGGATGTTTCCAACCACCAACATTCTGCCACTGGGTGTCTTTGCCTGCAGCCGGCTCCGGTGATAAATCACTTTGACTGCATCTGCCAGGGAAAGGTACCCAGCAAAATGTGCAGCAGCAACTTCCCCTACTGAGTGGCCAACAGCTGTGACTGGTTTAATGCCCCAGTATTTCAGAAGGGAAGCTAAAGCAACTTGTAGGGTAAAAAGCAAGGGCTGGGAAAGCTCTGGATTCAACAAATCCTTTGGGCTATGACCTCTTTCTGGCTGGAGCCTGATGGGAGTGTGTTTCTGAAAAAGTGCTTCTATTTCCTTACACTTCTCTCTGAACACTGGCTCTGAGTACAGCAGTGCCTCATTGAACTCCTTCAGCTTTACACCATTGCCACAGAAGACAAACACCAGTTGTGGTTCCACCTTTGATATGGCAAGTTCAGTGCTCACTGCTGACATAACCTCTTGCCTCAAGTGTTGGAGAGAATTTGTGACAAAAGCTTTTCGGTACCTATAGTTGGCATGACTTCTTCTGCAGGCAGATGTGTAAGCCAGGCTTGGGAGAGTTACAGAGTTTCTTGTGCTCAGCTGGTCAGCCATGTCAGCCATTGTCATCTGAAGGGACTTACTTGATGCTGCTGATAGCAGAACTAATTCAAGGGGCCTCTTAAAGGCAGAAAGAGGCTCTAGCTGCTTGACCTGCCTGACGACAATGTGAGCATTGGTTCCCCCAAATCCAAAGCAGTTAATGCCAGCTACTCTTCCATAGTCACCAGATTCTTCCCATGGCTCTACAGCTGTGGGAACTGCAAGGTTTAATCTCTCTGTATCAATGCTGCTTATCTCCTTTGAGTAATGCAAGGATGGAACAATCTTTCCATGATGCATCATCAGAAGCACTTTTATTAACCCTGCTGCTCCAGCAGCTGATTCAATGTGACCAATATTTCCTTTCACTGAACCAATTTTCAGAATGGGAGCTTGTGAAGACCTGTTTTTACAAATTACACTACCTAGGCTTTCAGCTTCAGTAGGATCTCCAGCAGCAGTTCCTGTGCCGTGTGCTTCAACGTACTGCAAAGCCGAGGGATCAACACGAGTTTCATAAATGCTGCGCAGTAGCTCCTCTTGCTCTATCTGAGACGGCCTTGTGATCGGTGTCATGGACCTGCCGTTCTGATTTACTGCACTGATGTTTATAACACCCCAGATTTTGCTGTAGTCTTCCATTGCCTGTTTCATAAAAAGGTAACATTGCTTTTAATAATCTCATGCTTTTTTTCTCTCTAGGAAAAAAATAAAGCAAAACAACGAAGCCAAGAACAGGGAGAGTATAATACTAACTCTTAAATGCACGATCACTTTCTCATGATAGGGGAAGTGAATAAATGTTTAATGCTTAGTAAGTGGTTCATTAATCTTAAGCTTTAATTAGAAATTTTTTTTCTGGCAAAGTAATTATTAGAACTGGAGATAGAAAATTCAGATAAGCAACCAGTCTTATTTTAGGCTGCCTTACAAGTAATCTTACCTTTTTCAGTGGTTTGAGGAAAACAACACCACAGCCTTCTCCCCTTCCATAACCATCTGCCTTTTTAGAGAAGGGTTTGCTTATTCCCTCCGGAGAGATCATTTTTGCTTTACTGAGAGATACAAAGGTGCGGGGATCTATTATGCAGTTCACTCCACCACAGATGGCTGCCTCACAGTCTCCTGCAGTAAAACAGAAACATACTCATGTAGAGATGTCCAGGATGATTGACAGAAACAGTAGCAATCCTAATTTATTTGTCCAGCATCTCTTCAGTCCCATTACCTGATTTAATTGCTCGTGAGGCGTAGTGCAGAGCAAAAAGAAAAGATGAACATGCAGTGTCAATGGCCAGTGATGGTCCAGTCAGATTAAATGTGAATGAGACCCTGTTAGCAGCAATACTCATTGCTGTTCCAGTACCATCATAATGATTTATTTCACTCACTGCTCTGCTCGTTACAATTTCATAGTCTCGATTCATTAAACCTGTAAAAATATCAAATAAGTGCCATGTTAACCCAAGCAAACAACAGGGATATACAGGTCTAAACCTGACAGTGTGTTCTGGTTTTCTGTGTTAATAGAGAACTACACAGCATGGGTGCTCCTGTGCTGAAACTGCTTCAACACAAGTCAAAGGCAAAACTCCCAGCAATTCTCCTGAGCCAAACTTACACAAACATACCTAACACTTGAAATTTCTACAGGCATAGTAAATGACAGGCCTTTCACAGAATCATGGCATGGGTTGGGTTGAAAGGGACCTTAAAGACTATCCAGTTCCAACCTCCCTGCCATGGACAGGGACACCTCCCACTAGACCAGGTTGCTCAGAGCTCCATCCAACCTGGCCTTGAACACTTCCTGGAGGGGGCAGCCACAGCTTTCCTGGGCAACCTGTGCCAGTGTCTCACCACCCTCATTGAGAAGAATTCCTTCCTAATATCTAACCTAAATCTACCTTCCTTCAGTCTAAATCTATTATCCCTCATTCCATCACTACATGCCCTTGTAAGAAGTCCCTCCCCAGATTTCCTGTAGGCCCCCTTCAGGTACTGGAAGGCCTCTGTAAGGTCTCCCTGGAGCCTTTTTTTCTCCAGGATGAACAACCCCAACTCTCTCAGCCTGTCATCACAGGAGATGCGTCTGATGATCTTCCTGGCTCTCTTCTGAATTCACTCCAATAGCTTCATGTCTTTCTTGTGTTGGGGGCTCAAGAACTGGACACAGTACTTCAGGTAGGGTCTCATGAGAGCAGAGTGGTGGGGAAGAATCAGCTCTCTTGACCTGTTAGCCATGTTTCATTTGATGCAGCTCAGGATATGGTTGGCTTTCCAGGCTGGAAGTGCACGTTGCCAGCTCATGTTGAGCTTCTGACTGACCAGCATCCCCAAGTCCTTTTCCTCAGGGCCGCTCTCAATCCATTATCTGTCCAACCTGCATAGCTTAGCTCATATTCTGACGGCTTAGCTAATTGTATGAAACAGTTCAGCTCTGTGTAGCCTGTGTAGATACCTGTGTCTCAATTTGAGAGTGGTTGGTTTAGTTTCAGTATGGATATATTAAGAATTACAATGAGGATAGCCAAGATAGAAATGTACAGAACATTATCTTCAGTTCCCCAGATGTTCGAAGTTAAAGCTCATGGCATAAGCTACATCCAGTGCTTTTTATTTATCTTTTGTTTGCTCACTAAGAACCAGCAATTAAGACAGAAATAGAAAAGGAGAGGGCCTGTGTGAGGAGTAGAGTCCTCTTTCTGAGAACACATATGCTTGAAACAGAGTGCATCCACAAATCCACTGACAAGTTTCGAAAATGCAGTACAGCTACTCAGACAGCAAGGAAAAGTCTCCTCTGTGAAAAAAGAGTATGTTTCAGACTAGAAAGTAATCCAAGCAGTTTGGTCTTATAGTTACATCAGCCTAAGTATCCCAGAAAACTCCTCTTAAATGAGACACAGGTTACACCAGCAAAAATGTGCTGGTTTTCTAGCTCCTTGACTAGAGTAGAGTAGAGAGCAGAGCAGAGCAGTTCCATTGGAAGTGACCTACAACAACCACGTAGTCCAACTTCCTGACAAATACAGGGCTTATCAAAAGTTAAAGCTTGTTGTTAGGGGCATTATCCAAATGCCTCTTACACACTGACAGGCAGGGGACATCAAACTCCACTCTAGGGAGCCTATTCCAGTGTTTGACCACTCTCTTTGTAAAGAGAAAGCAGCTTTGAACCATTCCCACGATTGGTCACAGGAACTAGGGAGAAGAGATCAGAACCTCCCTCTCCACTTCTTCCCCTCTGGAAGATGTAGAAGGCAGAGTTCACTCCTCAGTCTCCTCTTCTCCAAACCAGGCAGACTCAGAGTCCTTAGCCACTCCTCATAGGACATGCCTTCCAGCACTTTCACCAGCGTTGCTGCTTTCCTCTGGACACCTCCTTTTTAAATTGTGGGACCAAGAACTGCACAGAATACCCAAGGTGAGGGTGCACGAATGCTAAATACAGTAAGACAATCACCTCTTTTGGCTGGCTGGTTATACCGTATTAATGCACCAGATCCCTTTCTGCAGGGCTGCTCTCCAGCCACTCCTCTCCCAGTTTATACTTGTATCCACTGCTACTCCATTCCAGATGCAGAATCTGCAATTTGTTCTTTTTAAATTTCATGTCATTGAAGACTGAATAATGCTCCAGCCTATCTATATCTATATCTATATCCATATCTATATCCCTCTGCAAGGCCTCTTGTCCCTTAAGAGAGTCAACAGCACCTCCCAATTTAGTATCATCAGAAAACTTACTAGTGGTGCATCCACCTCCTGCATCCAAAACATTTTTTTTAAATGTAGAAAGGACAACCCTGGAAACAACAACCTGTCAGCCTCACCTCTGTACCTGGGAAGATCATGGGTCAGATCCATCTAGAAGCCATGCTAAAGCACATGGAGGATGGGGAGCTGATTGGAGACTGTCAGCATGGTTTCACCAAGGGCAACTCCTGCCTGGCCAACCTAGTGGCCTTATACGATGGAGTGACTGCATCAGTGGATAAGGGAAAAGCTACAGATGTCATCTATCAAGACTTCTGTGTGGGCTTTGACATGGTCCCTCACACATCCTTCTCTCTAAGTTTGAGAAATACGGAGTTGATGAGGGGACTGTTCAGTGGATGAGGAATCGATTGGATGGTCATATCCAGAGGGTAGTGGTCAACAGCTCAATGTCCAGACTGAGATTTGTGAGAAGTGGTGTCCCTCAGAGGTCCTTACTGAGACCAGTACTGTTTAATATCTTCATCAGTGGCATAGACAATGGGATCGAGTGCACCCTCAGCAAGTTTGCAACTGACACCAAGCTGAGTAGTGCAGCTGTCATGCCTAAGGGATGGATTGCCACCCACAGGGACCTAGACAAGCTTGAGAATTGGGCCCACTGCAACCTCATGAGGTTCAACAAGGTGCAAGGTCTTTCAGCTGGGTAGGCAATCCCCAGTATCAATACACACTGAGGGATGAAAGGATTAAGAGCAGCCCTGCAGAGAAGAGCTTAGAGATACTGTTGGATGAGAAGCCAAACATGAACTGGCAATGTGTGTTCACAGCCCAGAAAGGCAACCATATCCTGGACTGAATCAGACTAAGTGTGGCTAGCAGGTCAAGAGAAGTGATTTTGCCCCTCTACTCTGCTCCAGTGAGACCCCACCTAGAGTGCTGCATCCAACTCTGGAGTGCAGGAAAGAGATGGACCTTTTGGAGTGAATCCAGAGAAGGGCCATGAAGATGATCAGAGGGTTGGAGCACTCCTCCTATGAAGACAGGCTGAGAGAGTTGGGGTTGTTCAGCCTGGAGAAGAGAAGGGCCTGGGGAGACCTTATAGTGGCCTTTCAATACTTAAAGGAGGCTTGTAAGAAGGATGGAAACAAACTTTTGAGAAGGGCCTGTTGTGGTAGGACAAGGGGTAATGGTTTTAAACTAAAAGAGGGTAGATTTACACTACATATAAGGAAGAAATATTTAACAATGAGGGCGGTGAAACACTGGAACAAGAGAGGCTGTAGATGTCCCCTCCCTGGAAACATTCAAGGTCAGGTCGGACCAAGCTCTGAGCAAACTGACCTAGTTGAAGATGTCACTGCTTACTGCAGGGGGATCAGACTAGATGACATTTAACAGTCCCTTCCAACTCGAACTATTCTATGATTCTGTGATAAAAATATTGAACAGAACTGGCCCTAGAATTAAGCCCTGAGGAACACTACTAGAGAGTGGTTACCAGCCAGATGTAGCCCCATTCAACCCTTTGAGCCCTGCCATTCACCCAGTTCTTCACTCGGCACACTATGCACTTAAGTCTTTCAATGTCACCCAGTATAATCTTCTCCATCATTTTTCAAGGTACTGAGGTAAGCAGTTGGACAAGAGCAGCTTGGTACTGTACTAATAACTACATGAGGATTTCTGCTAGTTTAAAAGGATCTTACCCCTCAAAACACCTTAACTAATCTTATACTGGAAAGAAGTGTAGGCCTGGCTTGAGAGTATCATTCCTGGGAAGGGCTGGGTTGAGCAGACAGTTTAAGTGTTTCCTTCTTCAACTTCAGTGGCTGAAGACACTAAAAGGAGCACTTAAAATAGATTATAATTAACTTCCAGAGTAGCCTAGCAATCCTTAGCAAAATAACCAGTAGGGTTGTAGCACAGTAGCCTTATGTTCTCCAGTGCTAGATATGTATGTAAAGTTTATGAAGGAGCACTTGAATCTTTGTGAAGTTAAAATGGGCATTTTTTACCATGAAGTTTTCATCTTACCAATAAAAACACCTGTTTTGGTGCCACTGACAGCTTCTACAGGGACTCCTGCATCCTCCAAAGCTTTGTATGTGCATTCTAGAAGTAACTTCTGTTGTGGATCCATGCGTTCAGCTTCCATATTATTAATCCCAAACAGGTGGTTGTCAAATGAATTAAATCTAAAATACACAGACCAGAAAATGATACAATATATATACAGTATGTGTTTGCTTCAAAACTCAAAGTACACATTTTTTTTGCAATTTCATGAAAAGCAAAGCAGTAAGAGGTCACAGTTCCCTCTATGAATTTCAGAAGAAAATGTGTATAGGCCAAGGATATTTTATGTCCCACCACAAGATTTGTATTTTTATTAGTGATTCTGCATTTCAGAGTTATGAGTCTACTCTTAGAAATTTTTATTCACGTGGTTATCCCACTGGTATCAACAGGACTCCTCAGACTATTAACATTTGCAGAATGAGATTCCCACATGCTGTAATGTGGTCTTAGCCAACAAGTTTTAAACAAATATTGCCTTTTAAGTTATTTTAAGGTAATATGGGCCAATGGCTTTACAACTTAAAACCACTAAGTAAAGGGTCAGCTCAGATGCTTCCAAGAGATAAATGTAAAATGTTTTTTATATGCATATATGTGTGATTATCTTTTTAAAAAATCTTCAAAGTAGGCCCACACTTAGAAAAGACTGAGTCCAGGCTTAATCTTTTATCCCAAGACCAGATTTGTGTGGCCTTCTATCATTTCTTGATTTCAGTGGAGAAATCAAATCTACCATGGGACTAAAGGAATTCTAGGTCCTACAATCAGACCTGCTAAATATTACTCTCAGGAGGCATAAGATTGCTTCTATGCATATGAACTTCTCAACTGAATAAAGGTCTATAGCCTAAGGATTTAAGGTGAACATGGATTTAAAATAAAAGATGCTTATGTTGATCTTACTGTAATTATCTGTTCTTTGCATTACTCATATCCCCTGTGCAGCTGTACCCATATCTCTGGGATAATTTGACACAAGCCATGAGGACACAAGTGAAGGGGTTCGCACTGTAGGTTGCTCCTCCAGGATTTGTCTTTACACTAATATCTTTACCTGATACTGATACATACATAATCCCTTAGTATTATGGGGAAGTGACTCAGAACTAAGAGAAAAGCAAGATTATTATGAAATTATGAATAGTTCAGGTTTACAAGCAAGCATAACACTCAAATTAAGCATAAATTCCCCTTCTTGACTACTCAGCAAAACCAAACTTCCTTACTTTCTCTCTAAATGGTGACACCTGCTTGAATTAGAGCTACTTGTACCCTCAAGCACAGGATTAGGTCCTGAGGTCCAGCAAAGCTTAATAACTTTCAGGCAGAAACTCAAGGAGACTTATCAGGCACTTCATAAAGCTCAGAATCCATACTCTGCCACCCTCCCCCACAGTTTGTACTACTACAGAGAGTACAAATTATTTGGCAGGCTGGAGCCCACCTCAGATCCAGTATATACTCATGCATAGTCCATGTGTACTTCTGTATACCCCAAATGCAGACACCTTTGTCACATGACAGGTGACATCTCAACACATGGTGACCATGTACATACATGTTTGATTATGCAATCAAAGGTTATATGTGTTCCCAGCCATGTAGCTATGGGCTCAACATGGCCTGCAACTACACTTCCACATGGATGTCACACACCAGGAATTCCTGCAGTTGGACAACTGCATGTTCATTGTGTGATGTAAAAGAAAGCCAGTTCCTAGGTGCCATTTATAAGCTCCCCCTGTGCCTTGCACCCTCTCAAAGGCTGGATATGTTATTCTAAGTACAAAAGAAATAAATGGTACTGCATGGTGACAGACTCACTCATTGAGAAGAGCAGCTCGTGTTGTACATATTTTTCCTGGCTTGTTATCATCTGGATCATACCACTCGTTGACATTAAATCTCTCAGGAGGGATTTCTACTGTGCAGTTTTTGCCCTCCTCCAGGACTTTCCAGAAATTATCAATTCCATCACCTGTTGTAAAAAGGTTTTAAAGTAGATTAAATTATGTGCTCCCTCTCTCCAACAAAACAATATTTAATCCTCAGGCAGGAGACTCCTGCTACATATTTACTAGCACTTCACTACATTCAGAGCCATTTTGTTTGCCCACAGTTAGCTACAGGCCACATAGTTTTCACTGCACCACATACACCTGTTTAATCATGGACAAAATGAAGCCAGGAATGAAATGTGGTTAGAGCAGGAAAGAAAATAAGGAAATGGATGTGAGAGGAATTAATATTGGTTTTGCAGAAGATAAAGCTGTCTTCCGTTAGGTGTAACTGTAGAGGAAATGTTTACTTAGAAATAAGGTACAATCAAAGGCTTATACAACATTGTTTAGCCTTTGAGGAAAGAAAGCTAGGCACCTACTCTTGCAAGAACGTAAGTAAAATGTGCTTCACTGAGGAATCTGTTTGAGCCTGTGTTACTAGCAGTATAAACATTTCTCACAGGGAGAGACTAGCATGGTCACATTTAGTACTGAACACCAACTTGTAAGACAGAACTGTATTGCGCTCCCTGGGTTATTTCTGCATTTTTAAAAATCTTTAGCTATCTAATGTAAAGAGTATGGACAGTTTGACAGCAGCAGCCAGAGCCTAGACATCTTTCAACAGCTTTCTAAAGGTTTTCAGCTGTCAAGTCTCAGTCAACCATCTAAACTCACAATATAGTCAACTGTCACTTTCATAGGACCTAGTTGTAACTAAGATTGTAAATATGAGACTCCTGTAATGCAGGCTGCTGTCTTGTAGTACCATAGGCAATGTCAGTTCTTTACTGGTCAGCTTCCCATCTTGTGTGAGAGGCAGCATGGGGTGTATTGTAAGAGGCAGAGTCTGACCAGAGACAGAGCTGTATTTATTTAGCTCTTCTCTCCTCTGGCACCTTTCAAGGTGAATACTGCAATAAAGCAGGAAGTTTTCTTTTAGTAAAACCCAACCTATTTATATTACAAGCAGAGATGGTTACATTGACAGGCCCTTGATCTGTCCCATCCCTAGGGAGGTACAGTCCTGCAACAATGCACAATCATCCAGCCAGCACACACACAGAAAGCTCAAATCATCGCAGACCCCTCCAGTTCATCTGTGTGAGTTCCATGTGCGCAAGCTCAATGCCCGGACCAAACCCAGCACTGCAGGTCTGCCTGTCAGCAGACAAATTTGAACCAATTAGTTCCCACCACAGTGTGACCTTTTATCCAGATGCTGCAAGTATCACAGTAACAACTTCTCCCAAGTAAGGGAGGAACGTGTTGTTTTCCTCCACCTCAACATTAATGAGTGACTGTGCTTTTCAATGTTCATTCGGCAGACTGCTTTGCTTTTACCCAAAACTTACCTCCAGGAAAGTTGCATCCTATTCCCACAATAGCAATTTCATCTCCAGTCTCAATCTCCATCTCCTGGACTGCACAATACAGGTATTAGTGTCAGCCAGCTCAAACAATTATGCATTTATCATTAAATAAGTATTAGGTAAAAAACGTGACTTCCCACAAACACACATACTTGTTCAAAGCTTGATTAGTCTAGAATTATCTATTTATGGTTGTGAAGAGAAATTACACTCCCCACAGGGGATCAGAGCTGCACGTTTTGGGGTTTTTTTGTTGTCTCTGCCTTTAGAGGAAAATCCCTGACAAATTCCCCAGACTCCAACCATCAGCTTATCTGATCTTCAGCCTCTCCCTAGATCAGTCCTGTTTCACTTCTTGTGTGCAGAAGTGAACTGTGCATAGGTCAAGGCACACTTTCAGCTCTACTGTCTCTATCCTATTCACAACAATCTCCCAAACAGACTCTGGAAATTACCGGTTAAAATCAGACCACGCCAACAGGCAACAGACAATCAAGTAGCTGAGGGAACAAAATATGTGTCTTCCACACCCTGGTTAAGTGCCTGGGGAAAAAAAACAAAACAAAACAAAACAAACAACCTTATTCAGAGTGTTGTTTTTCTGTATCCCAAGGCTGTCCAGCTTTTGTCTAAATCAGCTTTCCCTGTAGTCAGAGCCTAGCCCACACAGACCACACCCAAAGCCACCAGCAGATAGAAGATCTGTCTTCCTGACAATGCAGTTTCCAGGTAGCCCCACTACAGCCCTAGGAATAACTGGCCTTTCAGCTCATTTGCAGCTTCACAGGGTAAACAACTCTTGTTGTGAAGCAGCTCAAAATAAAATTTGAATTTTTTCAACAAATTTGATGGCAAAGAAAATAAAATTGTTTAGGTTGAAATTAAATACCTCAGTACAGAATTTAAAGGTGATTTTTCTCCCTTAATTCTGGAAGGGAATTTGTGAGATAAAAATTCAATTAATTAGAACTCACTAGGCTGCCCACCTAAGAACCCTTCAGTCCTCCTGAATTTGCTTCAACCCACAAAAAGGAAAAGATTCATGTTAAAAGGGATTTTGGGGGATTTTTGGCAGTGGTGGTGGATTCTAATTTCAGTGATATTACAAGAGGTCTCAAAGAGCCTATTTCAGCTATGGACTGAAGGGTGTCAAGCAGAGGTCAGATTGTTTTACAGCCTCACACACAGTTATCATTTATTAGAGGTTTGCTTTGAAACATGAAAATAAAAATGACTGCTCAGATTCACACTTTGAAAAAATTACTTCTCAGTATCATTAACAAAGACAGAGTAAGTTAAAGGCCACCAAACAAAAATAAGGAGACCAGAACCTGGCTTTCTAGCTTATTTTCTTTTTCCTATTTTCTATATTCTTTTTTTTTTGTTATCTATTTATCTTTTTCAATTTTACCAATAATAGTAATTTTAAAATGCTGTTTTCCTTTAGTTCTTTCAAAATTGTCTAGGATTTCTATGTTTCTTCTATTTTGTATTTTAATTTCATAGCTAACCTAAAGCTGCAACAGAGTTACTCTTATTACAAAGGTATCACAAAGGTATCACAAAGCATTGTTTGTAAGGTAGCACTTAAATAGCACATAATAGAAAAATAAGGACCTTCCAATTCTGGCAGAAAATAAATCTTTGGCATCTATACAATTACCCAGTGAGCTGTATAATTCTTACCTTGTATCATCCCAGTAGGATGTACTAACAGGCTGAGTCAGTGGAAGTCATTTATATAGGGTTTGCTGAGGTTTTCTAATCAAATATTGCGTGTCAAAACGTGGTGAAACTGCCAATGCCTTTCAAAGAAACAAAAGCAAATAAATCATGTGATTAGTCAGTGCCTCTGACTAAAGTTCAAAGCTACTTCCCTGAAGTAGTAAATTCCTTAAGACACCAGGTTTGATACCATGTTCTTTTGACTTTGTAACAGAAACACAGTTATTGGCGGTTATTTAATGATTTAACTGAATTAACCCACTTCTCTGATGTCTTATTAGGCTGATGCACAGGATGGCATATCTGAAGCTGACCTGAGAATCCCCCTATTTCATGTGTCTAAAGAGCATTCTTGTCACTGCTGGCACCAACTTCTTCTGGCAGAGCAGAATGTGGGTTCATCAGATTAACTGGGAATGCACTATGGAACCTCCATTACATTTTCACAATAACCATCTGAAAACAACAAATGCTTAGCCATAGTTTCAGGCAATTCATATAATAATAATTGATAGTATTCATAAATCCAAAGTTAAGCAATGATTGCTCAATTTTGTGGAAGCACTAGTAGCAGTAACAGATTGAGGTTGCTGATGTAGGCAGCCTATTTATAACTACATTATAGGAAGCTGGTTTACCATGAAGTCTATTACAGATTTCTTCTGAATTTGAAAGTTGAAAGTTCATCATGGGAATAACAAAAACCTGTAATGTGGGAGGCACTATATTTTCTTTGTCTCCCATGGCATCACAGTGCCTGCCACTGAATAAAACCTTTGTTTTTTTCTAACCAAAGCTGTGTCTGATAATTCCAAAAGGACAAATAATGTATTTGTGTATTTCCCCAGGTTTTCAAATCAACAATTCCATCCTGCCAAGACTCAGATATAGAAAAATAGCTATTTGTTTGCCTAATACAAATTATTCCAATCAAGTTTTTCCTGTGTTCTGGTGGGAAAACATGCATGAGTGAAGTTCCTGCAGTGCAGGATTTATTTCAGAGACAACACAGAGAAAATGCAAAAAAGAAAGTATTTTGAAAGGTTTTTAGTTCCAAGTACATAAGGGACAAAAATACTCATGGGTTCCTTGCTTCCATCCGGACACCAGAAATATTATTGTGCCAATCACTTGAAGTTGCTTCTTCACCAAAGCAGTGCTCTGACCAGCTTGGAGGTGGCAACACAAGTATCTCATTTTCTATTATCATAAAAACCTAGTGAGAAAAGGCTTTGGCTCTTAGGCATCATTTCTTAATAAGTCAAATCTCAAAAATTAACTTAATGCATAATGATAATTAAAGCATATTGATGAAGCATATTGATATTGATTGAAGAAGGTAGCAGTGTTTACCTTTTTCATTGTACATCTGTGAAGTTTTCTAGTACATATTATTGCTGCTCTTGTAGTTATTGATACAGTATTGATAATGACACTGGGCACAGCAGGGCTCTGCTGTGTCCCTAACATGGGGAGACAGCAGACCAGATGTACATGCACAGAACAAGATTTATTGCAAACAGCACCAGGGTCTTAACTGTTTTTAAGCTAAAAAGGCACAAGCACAGTCAAACTGTGGGGAAGCTGGAATCTTAGACCAGAACATAATTGCAGTAATGCAAAAAGTATCTTTAAAATAAGATGTACTACTAATAGTGAAGTCAATTGGTAAGGGTTAACCATTTAAATGCTAACAACTAACTTATTAATAAATCTTATACTAGATCTAGAACACTGAATACTTATTTAAAAGGATCTTAAATATTAAAAATTTAAGTTGCTTAATGTCAAAGTAACTAATAAAGACAATAAGGGAGTTATACCTCTAAACCTCACACAGCCACAGCCAAGTGTCCCTTCGTCCTAGTCCCCAATTCCAGAGAATTAATTGCTCTGGCAGATGTCTCTGCTCTGGAGAGGGAAAGGTCCAGCAACCTCCTGGGAAACTGTTAAGGAGTCTCCCTGATCAAAGATGGGACCAGGCTTTTATAGAACAAAGTGGACTGACTCCTCTCATTTAACTATTCAGCTCCAAAATCTCTCAGTGGAGAAAAACAGAAAACAGTGGAAAAATCCAAGAAGGCCCTTTTCTCACCAAGCAGACTCTTTTGTTTATCTGCTCATCCTTATTTTGTCTCCATTTCAGGTCTAGTTGTGACTAGACTGGAGCAGTTGGTGTTATGAACATGAACTTGGCCCTCTGTACTTCCAAGGTTGTTACCAGCTCAGAGCTTGCTAGGCCCTTTCCTTTCCCATGGGAATCTTTCCACTCTGGGCCTGGGCCTGCAAAACTGAGAGACAAAAAGCAATTCAATCATAGAGGGACAAAAAGACAGGCATACTGAGAGATGGAGTGTCCTGCTACAGTATGCCAGGAGCCACACTAATCCTCAGAGAGCAAGAGGGCCTCACCACAAACAGTAATGTATGTGACAACCCCTAGTTCTTTCTGTTAGTTTCCAGTGCTCTGCACTATGGACATAGTCAGGAGGAACAGAAGGACAAGGGAGAGCAGTTTCTAGTTTCTAAATTTTTCATCTTGGATTTCATTTTCCACTTTTTTGGGAAAATAATAGAAGATTGGCAAGGAAGACTGTAAACCTGCTCAAGGGACTTGCAGCTGGCGTGTTGAAAAATTCTAATTCCCATCTATCCATCTGTGTTTGACAAGTAGAACATCTGTGTTCTGATAACAGAGGCCTGTGACAGACTTAGAGCCACCCTATCAACATGCTTAAGATTCCTGTGCTGCTGCGGAAGAGATGAATGCACAGCAGCAAACTACAGCTGCACAAACCCCTGGAAAAGAGCAGCAGCAGGCTGGGCAATCCCCTAGCAAGGGCCGAGCTCCCCGGTGTTACCCCTGTGTGCCTGTGCCTGGGTGCTTCTTTGGGGATCCCCCAGTGGGTGAGGTAACACAACTAAATTTGCTTTTGGCATTTCAGCCGTGGTTTTGTGGTTGTTCCTGCACCCTGACTGCGCTGACTCATGCATCTTTAATAGTAATCCCATGAACATTTGTCCTGAACTAAGGACACTGAAACTGAAAGTCCAAGATTGGCAAAAGAAATCACAGAATGGTTCAGGTTATAAGGAACCTCTGGATATCCTCTGGTCCAACTCCCTTGATCGAGCAGGGATGCCTAGAGCTCCTTTCCCAGGACCATGTCTAGACGGCTTTTTAAACAGACTCCACAACCTCCCTTTAGGTATTCAAATAGATTGAGAAGATCCCCCTGGAGCTTTTTATTTTCCAGGCTGATCATTTTCAGCCCTCTCAGCTTCATCCTTTTTAGGAGATGCTCCAGTCCTTTAATC